GTCTTGGTGAGGCCGCATCTGGAGCATTGTGTCCAGTTCTGGGCCCCTCATTTCAAGGACAGGGAACTGCTTGAAAGAGTCGAGCACAGAGCCACAAAGATGATGAAGGGACTGGAGCATATCCCTTACGAAGAAAGGCTGAGGGAGCTGGGTCTCTTTAGCTTGGAGAAGAGGAGACTGAGGGGCAACCTCATCAGTGTTTACAAATATGTAAAGGGCGAGTGTCAGGAGGACGGAGCCAGGCTTTTTTCAGTGATGTCAGGTGATAGGACAAGAGGCAATGGATGCAAACTGGAGCATAGGAGGTTCCATGTGAATATCAGGAAGAACTTCTTTACTGTCAGAGTGACAGAACACTGGAACAGGCTGCCCAGGGAGGTTGTGGAGTCTCCTTCACCGGAGACATTCAAACCCCACCTGGACGCGTTCCTGTGTGATGTGCTCTAGGTGACCCTGCTCTGGCAGGGGGGTTGGATTAGATGATCTTTTGAGGTCCCTTCCAATCCCTAAGATTCTGTGATTCTGTGGTTACATATGCAACTAGTAAGGAGCACTTATGGTCCTATATTTGACAGAACAAGTCTTTTGAGACAGCTGCAGTAAAATTTTCCTAATTCAGGCTAATGAGCAGGAGAGTGATTGCAAATTCCAGAATATTCTGATGTAGGGAGCCAGCAAACAGCTATAAAACCCAGAACAAATGCATCCTATAATGTACTTTGTTCATTTATTTCATACCATAAGGATAGTTTTGTTTTAATTATTTATGATAATAAACTTCTGAGTAAAGGCATTCTACTGCATTTTGTAATGATAATGAAACTTGAGTGATGCAGGGCCTCTCCACAGCATCCTGATGTTAAACGTGTCTTGCAAACAAAATAAGTTGATCATACACTCTTTTAGGGTTGTTGGTTTTTTTTGCTATTCGGGGGTTGAAAGCTTGTTTTCTCCTTCTCTCCCGTCTTTCCTTTCCCCTCAAGATAAAACAGGGCCCTAATGCTGTTTCATGTATCAGAAATTCACACTGTTAAAAAGAAGCTCTTAATTAAGGCTCAGTATCCTGCACTTTGTAATGTATCAGAGCCTGTGGAAAGCATCTTAAAGAACATTTCCAAACATTCTCTGCAAGCTTATAGGGAACATTTCAAATTTTGTCCACTGACTGCCTTTATTATCATGTTAAGGGAAAAAAGGTGTCAGAAGTACAATTTAAAAGGCTTTTGCAAGTCACCTGTAAGGTCTTTATGTGCAAATTATGGCAGGTGTGACTCAGAGGCTCTACAGTAGTACATTTCTAGTAGTTTGATTTATTTATTTTTTTTTTCCCTCACTGGTGATCTGTTGAAGCTAAAGGCATTTTCTGGAGAATTAATAATCAGATGGGAGGAGCTGATAACCTAAAGTACAAGTGAGGGTCATCTGCCCCAGCCCATCATTAGAGTCCAGAAAATACCCTGTAGTGAGGTTACTGATTTGCTGAATTTTTTACTTATTTGTTGGTTGTGTTTTGTTTTGTTTTTTTAAGATAAAGATGAAGAGCAGTACCAATCTGCTGTCTGCATTTTTAATGATACTCAAATATTGTGCTTGTATTTAATCTGTTTTCACCTGGTAGATTGATAGGATGACATACTATGCAGTGCTTAAGAACTTGATAAATGCTCCATACATTATTATTAATCAAGAATTAATGCCTCTCTCCTAGCTAGTTAGAATACTTTAACATTTGTCAGTTTTTTATTAATTTGACAATTATTAGCCTCTGGAGTGCAAAAATTGAAGTTTTACTTTTCTGTTGGTGGCTGTGGCAGTATAACAACTAGAAAGAGACAAACACTACAACTGGAGAGTTATTGGTAACATTCAGTTTAGGTTTTAGCCCTTAAAACGTGTGGGGTGTATTTTTTGGTAGGTGTATTTTTTAGGTAGTGGAAACAGACATGCTGTAAGAGTAGCTCCTTGCCATTTAAAACGGTGGTTAATAGAGTTGTGGGTAACAGGACTATGACATGGGCATTGGAAAGTTATTCCACTCCCACAGTTGCCACTGGTTTATGCTGTGGCCATGAGCAAGTCCTGTAGTCTCTCCAGTCCTCAGTTTCTCAATTTGGAATGCATGTTGTTAATGGCAATTAGCTGTTTAACTCTTGTTCACACATTGTTCTGAATTACTAGCTGTCAGGAGAGCCTTTGTACCTTGTTGCTATTGTTATTTGTAAATATTACCAATGGGGAAAAAAAAGTGCTATTTATCTGATGAATTACAGGTTCTCATTGTTAGGTGTGGCAGGCAGTCCCATCTTCTCCTGTTGCCTGATGATTTCTGTCATCATTATGAGATGGAGGCCTGTAAAATGTTAAGTCTTCTAGATCTGATCTGGCCACAAAATCCTATTTAGACTAATGCCCTGATGTGCTTGTGCTGTAATCCAATGAATTAACAGGATGCTTTTAAAAAGTGGGCAAAGTGTATTTTTTCAAGGAAATACTTAGTCAGACTCTATGCGGAACTAAGAAATGTAGTTGGTAGTGGTACAGTTTCCTCAGGAGGGGTGATCCTTGATGAGTTGACCTGGCAGAAACCCATGAGATCACTAAGGATTGACAGACTGGCTCTCTCTGTAAGGGCAAGCTGAAGTATAGAGAGGCCAAGAGGCCAAGACTATTTCTGTTCAAGTAGTGGAACACTGACACAGTGGAGAAAAGAAGCTCAGGAGTCTTATAAGGAGATGGGTTTATATTTATAGAGTATAGCCATGCTGATATTAATTTGGTACAATACCAGTTAAAAGAACATCAAGCTGTAGTTCTGTCTTCTGACTGCTGCTTAATACCTGGCCTGCCATGGTGAAGACTTCCATATGGCTCTGGCCAGATGACCTCCTTGAAGGTGAAATAATTAACATGTTTAAATTATCAAAATAAGTAAAGGGAGATATTAAATTTGGCTATACATGCACCATACATACAGTCAGGGGGCTCATAGCTAAGATGCAGTTGGTGTTAATGTGAGGTGTTGAAGAGCCACATTTGGCCATGGCCAGCTGATCTCAGGGGGCTGGCAAGTGGCTTCTGGGGCACAGGGAGGCAGCCTCAATGGGATCTCCTTTTCTGAGGGGTTCAGCTGTTCTGGCCAGGGACATGAGCTACCTTATAAAAAAGATTGACTCTTCCAGTGGGAACTTTCTACTTGGTGTTTACCTTAATGTTAGGCTTGGTTCATTTTGCTCCTGCCGTCAGCTCTTTGAGGGCATCTTGTCTGATGTGGGCTTTTGTAGCTCAGGAGGCCAGGCTAGATCTGTTAAGGCCCTTGGTTTTGTCTTCTCAGGCTTGTCTTAACCATAGATGGGTATTATGTGGCTGTAAAATGCACTGTGTAGGACTGTTTGCTTGAACAGATGTTACATTGGCTTTTAAGCTGTAATTATTCTTTATTTATGTCTCGTTGCTTGAAACCGGCATTTAAAGAAAGACAGGTTCT